GAATCATTTAAATAACCTTAGTTTTAAACTAACTCCGCCTGTGACTCTTCTAGGTCTACTGTTGGTCATAAGACCGGAGGAAAGAAAATGAATGGGAAAGGGGTCTGCAACACTATCCCATGGAAAACAATCATGCTAATAATCGCCAACCACATTAGACAAATTTTACTATATAAACTCTGCTCTTCGATTTGAAGGGTCTTCATTCAGAAGAATTATGATGCCTCATGATGAGAGCCGATATTCTTCGCATGTCCTGTGGCTGATGACACTCTTAACAAACACACCAACCATTAATATAGGAACATAGAATGTCCGGACAATGTAGCAGAGCATAGATTCAGGAGAGATTCTGTTGTACTCCGGTCACGAATAAGAAGATACTTTTCACACTCAGGGAAATGCCCCGATGAAGCTGTCCAATGAAGCACGAAATGCACTTATTGCAAGGGAATCTCATCAATCCAGAATCATAAAATCATCGTTCGAAACGAAGAAGGACGAAATCACAGTGGATGTCATCCAATGTTATGTACCCACCAATAATAGCAACGATTACCATAAAGATCAGTTTGACAAGAAGCTGCGATCAATCATAGCGAAGTACACAGGAAAAGACCTTACCATTCTGATGGGAGACCTAAACACCGAATTCGAAATGGACAACACTAGATATGAAGATACCAAGGGACGACATGGACTGGGAGAAAGAGACGAGAATGGTGACGGATTTGTAAATCTATTTGCATTCAACGAAATGGTTATAGGGGGCATAACATTTCACCTCAAACGCATACACAATGTTACATGTGTCCAAACGATGTGACCATACGATACAGAACCAGATAAATCATTTTGCATCACTAACAAATTTGGAAGGACAATAGAAGACATGAGAATCAGGGAGTAGCTGACATGGCTTCAGATCACCATCTACCTGTTTGTTGCGAAGATGAAACTACTGTTAAAGAAGCATTGAACACCTGGACGAACAGCAATACAAAGATTCAATAAAGTCTTCCATCCAGATACCAACAAATTCAACCAATTCAAGAGAACTCTCAACAACACGCTACAAGCCTTACAACATCTACCGGACGAAGACAAATAAGAACAAACTACGATGGTGGAGTATTGGAAAGGGATCGAAGAAGCATTAACTTCAACGTGTCAGGAGTTTGTGGACCACAACAAGCATCACTAGAATGATCGAATCTCTATGCCAACCCTGAACAACATTGATGAATGGAAGAACAGGAAGACAGTAATTAACAACAACAGTCGAATATGAACAGAGAAAGTCAAGTCACAAGCTGAATACATTGAAGCAAACAAACAAGTGAAGAGGAGCAATAGAGCCGACAAACAGAAATATGTGGAAGAGTTGAAAGAGAAGGGAATATGAAACAGCTATACGGCATGACGAAAAAACTAGCAGGGAAATATAGTAAACTAGAGAGACAGGTCAAGGAAAAGAAGGAAAGACAATCACCGAGATTCCAGAACAGAGGAACAAATGGGTAGAATACTTCGATATCTTGAGTAGACCAGCTTCATTGAGTCCACCGGGCATCGAAACAGCACCTCAGTCAGTCAACTGCAGTGTAGGACCAGGCACATATATGCATCGGTCCAAGTTGCCATACTATCAGCACAACAAGATGAACATCAAATTCATAGAAGTAGTTAATCTAGTGGTGGTAATATATGAAAAGATTGTATACAAGGATGTAGTACAAGAAGAAAGACAGATATGAAGCGATCCCAGTCTTATAGTTCAAGGGAAGACAGAGAGTATGTACATCTACTCCATTGTGATCGATTCTGACCCATGTCACACAGAGTTTCCAACCATTGTTTAAGATAGTCACACGATGTCTCTCCTTATGCTTAAAATTAGCGTTTGCTAAAAAAAACGATTGTCTGAGTATACTTGCAACAGACGACAACCATTATCTGTCCGCTGAGCCGAGATACCAAAATATCCACCTAAATGCCTTTCCGTTTCGTTTAAGCTAACTACTTGGGCATTAAAGTCACCCGCTACGAGTACTATGCCTGAGCGCTTAGCTTTTTGAAGAAGCTCAGAGAGCTTTCTGTATAAGTCATCTCTCATTTCATCCGGGCTGCAGTCAGTGGGAGCGTAGACAGAAACGACGAAAAGGCAACGACGTGTGTCCCTATCTTTCCGAGTTCTTACAGAGCCGTTCCGCCGAACAGCACATAGTCAACTGTTAACGGGGACCCACTCTAATAGTGCTTGTTCTGCTCTCGTACTAAGTGCTATGCCTACACCTGCAAGTCTACGAGAACTAGCCATCGGGTCGCCAGATACACGGAGGGTGTATCTCGTCGGCTCTCCGTTTTGGTGAGGTGAGGTCAAGCGAATGGTCACACTGGGATCCTGTGTGCGTGTTTCGGAGACACAGCATACATCAATGGTACGAGATTGGAGCAAGGTTTCAGTAGATCTGAAACAGTGTTTTGCGCACCAGAATCGTTGGCTATGGTGACATTTGAGGAGGAAGCCGAAAGAGGAAGTTTAATGTTGAAAGTCGAGGTAGGAGGAATAACAGGAAGTAAAGGAGATTGATTATCAATACAGTGGTCTTGAGTGCTATTAGAGGAAAGAGGGCAGTTATCACTTTCCGGTTGCTCACACTGTGGAAGGGATCTTCTAGAGGCACTTGAAAAAAAATTGGATTATAGGTGGTCATAATGACCTGAGAGCTTGACCGCAGTGCCCAAGGGACAACTGCTTGAGGTCGGTCACACACGACCTTTTTGTGAGTAACTTTCGTGTTGGCTCCGTATTTGTTGTGACCTTAGTGCCGGAGACGGATATCCGTGGGATAAGGTGTGCATTCTTAGGGTCGACCTTTTCCAAGCCCACCCCTCCTCGTGGGAAGGCAGCATCGCCGTTATGTTGGTTGTCTGAAAGAAACACTACTGCCGTCACACCTCTGTACAATTAGCAGTACGATTTCACCTTCAGACCTAGGGTTTGTTGCTTTTAGTCTTAACGCTCTTCAACCGACCTGTCTGGAATGGTAGGGCCTTGAGGAACTATTGTTTCAGCCAGTATAGCTCGATAGTATAGCACGATAGGCAAGCCCGACCACCACGTCGAGGTAGCAGCAGAGTTCGGGGAAGCAACACCTACGGACCTTTCCACAGATGTCATGACAGAAGAAATCGGGATGGCCATCAGACAAATCAATAGTGGGAAAGCAGCAGGACCTGACAATATACCACTTAAAGCACTAAAGTCAAACATAAAAGCAACTGCAAACATTTCGACTTTCTATTCAGGAAGATTTTGGAGGAAGAACAAGTGTCACTGACGTACTGGAACGAAGGACAACTCAAGATACCAAAGAAAGGAGATCTGAGTAAATGTGAGAACTACAGAAGCATAACACTGTTGTCAGTACCAGGAAAAATTTTCAGCAGTGTTGCTGAACAGAATGAAAGACTCAGTAGACGCCTAACTTCGAGATCAACAGGCTGGATTCAGTAAAGATCTGTCATGCCCAGGTCGAATCGCGACACTACGGATCATTAATGAACAATCAGTTGAGTGGAACTCACCACTATACATCAACTTCATTGACTATGAGAGAGCATTTGACAATGTGGATAGAAGAACATTATGTAAACTTCTTTGACACTATGGTGTACCTGAGATCGTCAATATCATAAGGAATTCATTCGACGGACTACAGTACAAAGTCGTGCATCGAGGACAGATGCATCCAAAGTGAGGACCGGAGTCAGACAAGGCTGTTTACTCTCTCCCTTTCTCTTTCTTCTGGTAGGTGACTGGATTATTATGACTTCCATATTTGACGGTAAGCACGGTTGGATGCAACTGGATGATTTGGACTTCACAGATCACCTGACCCTTCTATCCCATACGCATCAACAAATGCAGATGAAGACAACTAGTGTAGCAGAAGGAAAAATCAATATCCTTAAATAGAACACGGAGAACACCAACCCAATGACACTTGATGAAAGAGCTCTGGAGAATGTGGAATATTTCACGTACCTGGGAAGCATCATCGATGAACAAGGAGGATCGGATGCAGACGAGGAGTGGCAAAGCAAAGACAGTATTCCTACCGTTAAATAAATATGGAACTCACAACAGTCAACCAATATCAAAGACACAATCTTCAATGAGAACGTCAAGACAGTTAGTTCTACTGTACGGAGCTTAGACTTGGAAAACTATCACAACCATCATCAAAAGAGTACAATTATTTATAAGCAATTGTCTACGTAAGATACTCAATGCCTGTTGGTCGAATACTATCAGCAACAGTCTACTGTGGGAGAAGACAAATCAGCTTCCATCTGAGGAGGAAATCAGGAAAAGACGTTGGAAGTGGATAGTACATACATTGAGGAAACCACCAAACTGCATCATGAGGCAAGTCTTAACTTGGAATCCTGAAGGTAAGTCGAAAAGGGGAAGGCGGAAGAATACACTACGTCGTGAACTGGAAGCAGACATGAAAAGGATGAACAGCATCTGGGAAGGATTTCCCGGGACAGGTTTGGATGGAGAGTGTTGGTAGGCAGAATACGCTCCTCCAGAAGGGGTAACAGGAGTAAGTACATCCCATTACTGAGGAAGTTTAGAACGATTATTCTCACCAAGATAATACTTCTGTAGAAACTCAAACGAAATAAATAAACATATACTCATTACTCAATGCATTTAGGATAATTTCCTGTCAGTATGGAACACCGGTACCTGTTTAATCTATTTTTAACCTTCATAAAGGTCTGGCCTTTCCCCTGATAGAAAGTGTTGAATAATGTATAGTATTTTTGATGTAAACGATAAAAGTATAATCATTTTTTATTGATGTATAACTCTAGGGTTTCAAGGCTACTTCTAAGTACAGTTACCCTTAAATAAAAACAATATTCTATACGGTGTCAATCTGAATTATTATTTCTACTTTTCATCTTTTTCTGTATCTACTTGTTGACTGATCTGTTTTGTGTTTTGAATTCAATTCCTTTACTTTTCACCTTGTTAATTTCTTTTCTTCATAATGATGTTAGGATAACATAATAAGTGATTTCAAAGTAATTTATAAACACACTGACTTTAGGCTTTATCAAGTCATGACATAATACTTCATCGGGAATTGAAATAGTGAAAACTTTACAACAAGACTTACAACGAGTAAAATAACTCTGTAAGCAATATAAGAAAATTTTTATTTTAAAAATAGGTCCTTGGCTGATTTGAGTATATATAAAAACAAAAGCAGTAAAATTTGTCCCTGACAAAAATGTCCATTTTGATATACCCACATTGTCATCGTTTACGCTTTGGAGTTGGTGATCGTGAAACTGAATGTAACCCTGACCTGCTAAAATAATAAACAAAGGTAATAAACCATTTAAACTATAAATTTTCACATAAACAACAGAAATACACTGATGTTTTCAGGTAAAGACTCCAGAAATTTTTTTATGTAAAACAGAGGAACTTATATCATACAATCAAAAAATTAGGATGAGATTTTTAAAAAACAGTTGTTCCTATGTACTGATTTTCGTGCATTTCTTATTTCTAATTATGCAAATGAATACCAAAAATATTATCAACAAAAGTAAGAAAAAATTCCATTGATACAATGACAGGAACATGATTTTATGAACATTTTATACTATTTAAAGTTAATCGTCATTACATACTTGTATTTACTAAGCCATATGGCTTGAAGTTACCTGGTTGCTCTTATCGAAACACGTACAGATGGAATTAGAACCTGTTACTTAATTGTTAAAAGGTGGGTTTATTCATCATTAAGCCACTGATCTGAACGGCATCGGGCAAGCATTTGTTTCAGATAAGCGTTCTTCAGCTGAGGAAATTGATGACCTAACCAGTTCTTTAGCGAAAATTAGTTAATGGTGAAAATTATTCTCGAATAAACATGATTTACGATTTTGGCTAGGCATGATGCTAAGCCCAATGTATTCCATTGGTTTACATCAATCTATAGCTCCAAGAAATGAATATTTTTGCCACATACTGTAAAACTACGATCATCGGTAAGCAAAGATGGAAAGTGGCTAGCAGTGGAATCCAGGACGCGCATTTCGTTCTATTTGGGACTTATTAGCTGGATGCACCTGCATCTCAGAGTTAGTGTTCACTCTGGGAATCGAACCCAGTACCATTCGCTTCAAACGCCATCGCGTTATCCACTCAGCTACTGAGTCCTGATAGCCACTTGCTTGTGCAATCGGGTGAAGTTTAAATTCATTTGGTATCGTTTGTTTGAGTCTTCCCATTTATGTTTAGAACTGCAATTGATCGGTCTCTTATTGGCTTATGTGCATATTGTGCTCATTGCCTCGATATATTCTCAGTAGCCGAGTGGATAACGCGATGGCGTTTGAAGCGAACGGTACTGGGTTCGATTCCCAGAGTGGACATCAACTCTGAGATGTAGGTATATCCAGTTGACGAGTCCCATATAAAACGAAATGCGCGTCCTGGATTTCACTGCTAGTTACTATCTATCTTTGCTTACAATGCTTGTGGATTAAGGCTATATCGAGGCAATACGCAAAGTATGCACATAAGCCAATAAGACTGATCAATTGCAGTCCTAAACATCAATGGGAAGATTCAAACAAACAATACCAAGTGAATATACAATCACTAATGTTTCCATATGGAAGAAATAGTTATCGATTCATCTATATTCTTTGTAAATCCAATATACCTCATGAGTATACGAACTAAAATGTATGCATAGTGATTGATGCATTGTTACGATTAAAAAGATATCAATCAACTGAAAAATAAACAATACTTATATGACTCAAGCACAGTTTAACCAAGGTTCAATTGATCAAAAGTCAGTCATTAAGCGAGGTACTTACTTGACTTAAGGAAATTATACAAAGTTAGTGACTTACGTATTAGATTGATGCATCTTTTCGGGAGACTGATTTGTAGAAGTGCAAGTTGAGCAATATGAAGACGAACGTGAAGAAGATGAGGATGAACAAGATGATGATGAAGATGAAGGGACATCTGGAAAGTGCTCGGAGAGATTTATGTTGTCTGTGATCTTAGCTAAATCAGGTCGGTTAGTTCTGAGAGCAGACAACCACCTTTTAGCAAATTTTGGTCTTTTCCGTGCAGTTTTGTGCCATACAATAGGAAAGTTAGCAGAACTAAAATTGTTAGGAAAAAAAAATTGAGTGGTCGTTGACACAAAATTCCCTAACCAAACTTCGTAAAAACATGTTCCACAACTAGGCTGTATTGGCAATCAAGTGTATTTAATCCACGAAGCTACTTATAATTTGCCTGTTAGTTTTTGATATGAGAATATAGCATTTAAAGTGGAGAGGATAAAAACAGAGTTCTTTGCCATATTGGTTAAGGAGATTTATACCACAGAAAAAGGAGTTATCACCAGCCATCAAAACATGTAGTCTTGATGTACATCATATAGCTCTGGGTAATCTAGCATTTAGAAAATCATGTTAAGAACTATCGACCATGCAAATACATAATCTTTACAAACTTTGCGGATGAGTATCATAGCTAACCTGCAAAAGTTTTGCGTAACAGCGATGGTGTCAGTTAAGTTAAGAACAACATGCCACCAACCACCAGGAACAAAGACCGTCTCTCCAGGACACTGAAGTATTTCAAGAGGGGCGTACTCCGTTGGCCAGTCAGATGCTTGTGTGCGTGGATATACATATACGAACCAAGAGATGGCTTCGTTTCGATTCTTGCCGCCATCGGATGGTTTTGGTTTAACGAGTTCTTTTGGAGTTCGAGGTGGAAACAAACACCACCTAAAAGGGATTACAGTTAATACTAATTTTGAAATCAGCTTGAAACAAAAATAGACATTGAGAGTGAACGATATTGATTGACGTGAGATAACAACCAAATCCCTTTAAAATAAACTAAATGTGATGATCCTTGATGAATTTAAAAGCTGAAGAAGGTGGCTATTTGCTCGCCACAATCCACACAAAGTACTGCTACTGTTTAGACATACACAAGGATAGTTTACAGACCAGTAATATCAAATGTACAAAATACCTTATAGCAATTGGGTACGGTTACATGCCTACATTTGAATAGATGAATTATTCTAATCTTTCCATTTATCACCCATATATTTGTCCCTGCCAATTACTCAAGTGTAACCTTAATTATGTTTTATAAATCTGTGAACGATAATGAGCGTGTTTCAATTCAGTTTCTGTATTATTTACAACCTGGAAAACTAAGTCACCTTATAACTCTTAGTGTCGGTAGATAGATAGATAGTCAGTCAATCACAGCATAGAACCTGTCCCCCGGATAAACGTACGCAAAACAAGCCCTTTGAAACGACAGATGGAGAGGGAATTTGTAGTACTTCATTAGAGTCTTGAATACGAGTCTCAGATAGACAACAGACATCGATATTAAGACTTTTTAAAGACATAGCCAACCCTATCTGTTGTCCGATCTGCATCAATGTGCGGATGTTGAAGGGAACCAGTTGGAATGGAATACGTAGTTTCAGAAAGACTTAAAGTATTCGTATTCGGTGGTAGCATTCAGCTTCCGACTAGTCAGTGACTCGAGATCGTTTAGATAGGACAGGGTTTTCACCATAGACGAGCTGCTGTTTAAGTTGGAAAATAAGAATACACAGAAAAGTGAGAGTAGAATGGAGTAGATAAGCGATGTGGTATATAAAAACAAATAAAAATGAATGCGAATTGTCCGAATTTTAATTGAAGCTAGAATAGTAATTTGTGTGTGGGTTGTGATACTGCCCGGGTGCCCAGGCCGAAGCAAGTGGTTTACTTAAAAGGTCACACCTGAAGCTTTTGACCTAGAGGTCTGATCCATAAAGCAGTGGAGCAAGGTTAGGAGATGCAGTCCCATGGTAGCCGGTGACCAACAATCGGTTCATACGCCATTTGTTCCTTCAGGATACTGGAGCCCATGTGCACCATTGGTTTGGAATCAGGGTTTCGCAACTCCCCTAAGTGGACACTCCACACCCACCAACCCGGTTATATATATATATATATATATATATATATATATATATACCTTTCGTCTGAAAGCTGACAACGAAACGGTATTCATTAAGTAAGAGTAGGGATATTTAATTCATCGGAACATTTTCTAAATACTTCCCTCAAAACATCGTTGAGGTTATTTTGTTTAAAATATAATTAATAGAGTTAATCATGCTCCTAAAAGTTTCAAGTAGTGTTAAGGATAAAGATCTGGATGTTGGAAAAATGAATTTAAATTTATCTGGATATATCTCCATATGAACTCATAATAGGTTGCGACGTTATTGTAAATAATTATGATTTTCAAAATTAGTCCAGTTACCAATTCAACTGTTGGTTAAATACTCTGGTCCCATTGATTCAGTGTAAAGTACTGTTATTCTACAAATAACTTGAGTAGTCCCATTGACTAACTAACACTAGAAGTTTGGAAGGAATTCGCAGTAGAGAATTCTGTGCATAAAATGAAATAAACATATTTTAGTAATCACTAATATGTGTAAGTGCTATTAACAATGAAAAGGATGGTCATTTTGACATGTGTACCTGTTCTCAATTAATGTTTAGCTTTTAAGAAGACTAAAGCTTGGTTTTTGACCTGATTTATTTACCATTTTATAATTGATAGGAATACGCTCATAAAGTTCCCCAACTATGCTCATAATGGGAAACAAAGTAAAATCAATCATTCTAGATCAAAAATACATCACTTGGAGCACTAACCTTTTGTATCCTTTTACTAGTGCATTCCAAGCACTAGTTCCAAGGGGATCAATATGTATACCCGTGCCAGAACGTGGCGGACCCATTACAAACCATCTGAATGCAAAAGATGAGAATAGTTTTATGACAATGATCAGAAAAGCAAACTTTCAGTTTTTTGTAAAGGCGATGCTATGGCTCCTAGAGATATCTAGGGCTAATAACGAGCATGAAATTAAAGAGTTAAACAAGATTAGTCAGAAGTACAAAATAAAAAGCATTGAAGCCGTTTTAACCATACCTTACGTAAACCAAGAAGAAGGGTCTTCACTTACTAACCTGAACATAAAAATTTATGCCAGTCGGACAAAAAGAAATCCATCATACAAGACAAAAGGACGGTTTTTTGAGTAAATGGACGAGGAAACACTATAAAATAGTAGGGATAATAAATACAACTCAAATAAGCTAGTGTTTGTACAGTAATTTCACAATGTTTTTATATCAGATCACCGTAACGTCTGAGGTCTATAATATACAGAATTCTACTATAGGAATTAAATCACGTTTAAAAATCGTGCGCTTTTGGTCTCCCACGAACTATACACATGCTTATTGTTGAAAATTTGTACAGATGTGGTAACCTAATAATGGCGAGCAATATCATTGAAATCAGTGTTAGGTAACATAATCAATTTGAAGCTTGTTACAGAAAGAAAGCAGCTAAAATACCATCAAATCGATGTAAAATTCCAAAGGCAGAATATAACAACACTTCATTGTTTTCTCCATCGTGAGCGGAAATTTACCGACGAAGTTGGTCGCTTGTTATCTTTTTCAACCCGGTTGAGCTACATCGTTTGATTATTACATAAGCCTTCTTTTGGAAAAAAAGAAATAAACAACTTGATTAAATTAATGGTTATGAGGAAGTGGGTGTTCTCTTAAATCACTAGTAGCTTTATGATGTAGTTGTGGTTATTTTGAATGTGTAATTTAACTACAATGTACATGAGAAACAAAACAAAATTCTGACAAATAATAGAACTGGACGGAAAGCCTACCTATAAGGAGGTCGTGTTTTCTCACCACCCAGAGAAAATAAATCCTCCTTGAAATACCGACATATCGTATAATCATTCAATAACTTTTTACGCCTTGAATGCTATTAATAGTAAACCAAACAAATAAGTCGCACTTGCTTCTCCATAATTTGCATCAAATATATACAACGGACTATCATCTTCGTTTTCCTTCATATATTGAATGAAATACTTCATTTTTAGTTTGACAGAACAACCTTTATCATCTTCACCACATTTGAACCTCTCATTGTGATATTTTTTACCCAAAAGCTAGAAAATTAGATAGTGTACACACTACAAACTAAATACCTTTAGTGTCCAATTTTCATTAGCTTTCCAATTTATTTGAGCATTTTGAATTACGACAGGTTGGTAAGGACGTTCATATTCAGCTACAAATTCTTCATGGGTAACTTTGCAAGCATCAATACGTGGACAACGATCGTGGACAGTACTTAGAGACAAGTTGAAGTTATCCGCATATTTACAAGAATACCAACTGTGCGGAGAATCGCCAAGTTCTGATCTTGCTCTTACTTTAGCCGATCGAATTCTACGTTCATATTTACTACGTTTTGACATCTTAGATGGGGAAAAAACATTTCCAAGAATTTTTTTATTTATTAAACACATAAATATTGGCACAAAGGGGCACCAGATATATATATATATATATATATATATATATATACCACACAAACCTCATTTGATTTGTGTGAGGGCTGTGATACTGCCCAGGTGCCCAAACTGAAGCAGATGTTTTTCTTAGGGGGCCACACCCAGAGCCTTAGACCTAAAGGCCTGATCCACAATGCAGTCCGAGAAAATGATTGATAATTATTACTGATTAGACAATCTTACTTATGTTAGAATAATCAGAATTGTGTAGCATTTGGCGTTTTTGTCACCCGTTCTAAACTCTACTAGGAATTTTATTCTATGTAGAGTTTTGCAAAACTAAAACATTCTACATGTTATTGACACAAAGCGGAAATACTGACCATATAGAATCTTTTCTTCACATCTCAAAGCCATACCTGAGTTACGAACAAACTGCATAATCTATTCTCAGGTTACCTGGTATATCACATGCTTCCTAGATGTTATAGGATGGGAAACGTTTATATTCACCACCAGAATAGTGGCACTCTTAGTCAACATCATTGACTTTTAGTGTTGCTGGTGAGACAAATTTATAGACAATCTCTGAGAGACGTAAGAAGACCATGAGAATGTCCACCTACATACTACGGCTAAATGAATGTTATAAACTAGTGTGAGGAATTAGGGTTATTATTTGCAGTTGATAGTTGAGGTTAGGAATTAGATTCAGGGATTTCACGAACTGGCATCAAATACAATACCAAAACTCTATTTAGCCAAATGAAAGAATTTCATGCCCAAATTCAAGACCTATCATAGTAAATTTGATCGGTTCGTCCATAAATTATAGACTATAATTTGTGGATGAACCAATCAGATTTAGAATAATAGGTCTTGGATTTTTGCGCGAAATTTACTCACCCATTTGGCTAAACAGCCTCTTGACATTTTAGCTGATGTCAGTTCGTGATGAAAAACCGTAAATCTGATTCCTAACCCTAACCATCAACTACGAATCATAATCCTTTTCCTTCAAACTGCTTTATAACCCTCATTCAGCCCTAGTAATTAGGTAGGTTCTTTCAACGTCACGTTGGCGTCACTTAAAGGTCTCCATAAATTATAGTCTCGCCGTTTCGTCTTCTAGACATCTAATAACAAAGTCCGGATTTTCTCGTTTATAACTCAGAATCGTCAATATGATTTGCCCTGCCCTGGTACCGAAAGCGGAACTTTAAGCCGCAACCAAACTGCATAGGTTTGACGAAACATCTAAATAGAGTGACATTTGCTTTAACGACTACCGCCGTTTTGAGTAGTAATCTCATCAAAGGACTGGTGAGACTAAGTTATGGACGACTTTTATGCGGTGCTCAAGTGATCTTGAGAATGTCCACTCACTTCCTAAAAGTATAAATTAGTGAGGAACTAATCAGAATCTACAGTTGGATGTTAGCTAACATCGGTTGTAGTATCAAAATGCTATTTAGCCATGCGGATGAATGAATTTTGCACCTAATTCCGAGACTTATTTAAAATCTGGTCGGTTCTCGCAAATTATGGTTTAGCTGCCACTGTCGAATTTGTAATCCACTTATGCAGTTTAATTTAGTAATCTTCATGTTCCTCAATATCCGTTAATTCTGTTGTTGATTACTAGTTCACAAAAGGATACATATATTTTCAAAAACGACTTGATGCTTAATCTCGGTATTATGCATTGCAAATGTCTGTAGACTATACAAATTAAAAGTCATCATTGAAGTCACTCTTGTATCTGGGTCCTTAGTTATAACAGCATATATCCTGACACATTCTCTACTGGAATGAATCATACACTACAATTTATGAACGACTTGGAGCAGTTCAAAAACGACCTCTAGGAATTTCAACCACCTATTGGGTTCAAGACACGTTTATTGTCATCATGCACCGACACTAGTTATATGTGAGGATGCTCCACAGCAATGTCTATCACAATAAGTTTCAAGTCATTATGAAAACCCAAACCCTGAATCTTAATCCTAGCATTATAAATCATCCATATATTGGCTATATTCCTAATGAGTGAACGTACTACAAATTTGTTACGGTCATTTCGTGATTTGCCCAGGATCACTCTTACAATTCGGCTATACCTCAAAGACATTTACCTAGAAAAAGCCTTACTATGGTTCCGAAATCACTAGCAGCGCAACTGTAGTGGACATGCACAGGATTTGAAAGACGAGCTTTGTATGACCTTAGAGGAAAAGAATGAGCCTTCGTTTGACAGGTTTCCGTACATAGTAGCAGTGGATCACCGATACCTCTAAGTAGGGACCTAGGTATATTTAACGATAAAAGAAAAAAATATATGTATATAATAATGGGGTATTGCCTTTAGTCTTTAAGAGCATGTCAAGCCCCCTCTTCTAAGACTGCTGGAAAGTCGCATGGACTAGCTCACTAGGCAATAAACTCTTGAATTAGACTACATGCAAAGAGTGAAGGGTTTGTCTACAGTCTGTTCGGCTTAATTATCTCCAGTTCCTGGGTGTTACTCTTAAGGTTTGCGTTGGGAATTAGCTTATGTGGGTATTTAAATGGGTGTGTAGTGCCGCGACTCGTTAACCGTTTACTTCGATAACCGTTATAATTCTAAACTTAACGGTGCGTAAAATCAGAAGACAAAGGATAGCAGCAACTACAGTTTATTGTCGAATGACTCAGGTTCGAAAGCTAACAACACCTGAGCGAATATGGACGAGCGAGTGAGCGGCAAACGAGAGAGCGAGTGAACAGGCGAACAAGCGAAGGAAACGAACGAGGAGCGAGCGAGCGAATAGCAAGCAATTACATAGGCAATTTATAGTTAAATTTAATAAGGGCACAGCGAAGCAAAACAAAGGCTGACAATAATATTTGCGTGCGTACATATATGGGGAGGAGTATGAGTCATCGAATGATATTTAAGCAGTCAACATTTCGGCTAGAGTGTCATGTGCTCTAGTGGTATAGTAGTGCAAAGAATATGCAAATTGTTACTATCCAAATGACGATGTCTGTTAAGTAAGTTATGAAAAAGGGCTTAACCAAAATTGGCTATAATCGAAATTGATTGTAGGATGGTTGCTATAGGTGCTCAGGAGTACTTAGGACGCCGTAAGTCATTAAGAGGTCAACTTCGAGATACCTAATGAGTGTGAGTTCAATGATTTGAGGCACTCTTCATGAGGTTTGAATTCAGTTCTCTGAAGTGGTTTCGTGATTTCAATGTGCTCTTATCTTTTTGAAGTGAAAGAGGAAATACCATATTTCCATGCTATAAATGGGGTCGAATAAGGCTGTTGAAGATTGGATGGAAAGTTCTGCCGTCGAACTGGCCAAAAACATGCTTCAAGGTTACCTCAGTAAATACTGTCGCATGTGTTGTTTATAGCTCTCACTACTATTTTGATGTGGCTTCCGGCAGTTTTGGTAAGAAAAACAATCTTGCGTGTCATATGTGGTAAGGTGCCTGATATCTTTAAGGCGAATCGATTGATTCTTTACATCCTATTGCTATTCTGGTACAGGTACAGGTCTTTGGCAACACCCAAAAAGTGGTGGTGTTAGATATTTTCGGGTTCGTTTATCTCTGTCTCGTGGAGTGAAGTGGTGAGGTTCTGATACTGTGGCACGTGCTACTTATGCTGAAAAGCTCAAGTAGTATGTACCATCAGTCGGAAGTAGAATGTCATACTGTAGAAGGCTGAAATCAGAACAGGAAGGAAACCGCACAGCAGTCGAAATAACTACAGAATTTGAGGAACAGTGAAGTATGTAAAAGATAACGCAAAAACGATGTGCAAATTATATATTTAATGTATGGTTTCACTAATCCACTGAGTAATTTTGCATATTAAACAAATTAGTTTTCCAGAGACCTTCCAGGGTGAAACTTTGGCGACAGGTCACCACCACAGTTTCAAAGTTACATCCAAATCTTAGTAGTCGAATAAACGAGACGCAGTCGACTATGCGCCTGACCCAAACAAACGACTACATATATATATATATATATATATATATATATATATATATGGGAAACAAGTAACACCTCCCAATGTCACTATGAACGAGGAGGGGTGCCTAAACACTTGCTTGTTTGGTCTCTGGACGAAAATTCATGCTTGAACATTTTTGGGATACTGGTATTGCTCTTAGCAACATTACTCGGAACAAAACTGAGCTGGGCCGAAAAACGTCCCCAGTTACGCTTAAAACTGTCAGTAAAACTAAAATCGCGACGATTTGAGCGGGAAACTTTGACGTTAGATTTCGGGTTTAGGTGGCGATTCCCTTGGGTTTTCACCGTAGCTGATTTAGATCTGGAAATAATAAAAATGGACTTTTTAGAGTGATATGAACTCCTAACCGACACTGTAGCTGTAAATAATTCCCCAAAATCAATAGCTCAGCGTGGGAAATTTCTCCTACGTTCACTAGCCAGATAAGAGCAACTGCTTCTCGACATATTGATAACACATCAAATATATCTTTCCAACCCCTTCGCATCTGGCTTCTGATTTTAACCAAGTGGGGGACGATTCGAATATAGAATGTGTTACTGGTTATTAGTTGTCAAACTACGATACTGGTCGTATCTCCAACACTAAAAAAGACGTTTGGCACTGAAAGAAACTCCGGGTTACGCCGAAGGCGAAGAAAGCCACATCACTTCTCTACATTTCATACTAACTCCGCCAGTAACTACTGCGAAATTCCAAAATATACTCACGAAATTTCCAAACCTAACCAATCAGAACTATCAGTCTGCCAAACGTAAGCTGAAGGTAAACCATACAAACAAAACTGAGGGCGCACCGATTTTTGCTAGACCCAATGGATTAGCACCAGAGTCGATTCGACTACATACTACAGGTGGGTATTATCCATCCCTCTGATAGCTAATGGGCACCCCCTTTACACATGACTTCCTTATGCCCGTTACTCCCAATGGAGCATAGGCCGCCGACCAGCTTTCTCCAACCCACTCTGTCCTGGGCCTTCTTTTCGAGTTCTATCCAGTTCTTGTTCATTCTTCTCATGTCTGTCTCTATTTCTAGGCGTAATGTGTTCTTTGGTCTTCCTCTTTTCCTATGACCTTCAGGATTCCATGTGAGGGCTTGCCTTGGATGCAGTTGGGTGATTTCCTAAATGTGTGTCCTATCCACTCCCAGCGCTTCTTCATGATTTCTTCCTCCACTGCAATCTGCTTTGTTCTCTCCCACAGTAACTTGTTGCTGATAGTGTCTGGCCAGCGGATCCGAGGTATCTTGCGTAGACAACTGTTAATAAACACCTGTATCTTCTGGATAATGACTTTGTAGCTCTCCACGTCGCCGCCTCATACAGTAGAACTGTCTTGACATTCGTATTGAAAGTCCTGATCTTAGTGTTGCTAACAATTGTTGTGAGTTCCAGATGTTCTTCAGTTGCAAATATGCTGATCTTGCTTTGCCAATCCGCGTCTTCACAACTGCATCAGATCCACCTGGCTCATCAATCATATGTAAAGGTTTTCACATCCTCCATAGCTTTTCCGTCAAGTGTAATTGGATTGGTGCATGTTGTGTTGTATCGGAGAATCTTGTTTTTCCCTTTGTGTATATTGAGACCTACTGCTGCTGAGGCTGCTGCTACATTGTTCATCCTCCCCTACATTTTTTGTTGCGTGTTCGATAGAAGAGCCAGATCATCTGCGAAGTCTAAATCGTCCAACCGCATCCTAGCTGTCCATTGTATCCTGTATTTCCCTTCAGATGTTGACGTCTTCATGTTCCAGTCGATCATCAGGAGTAAGAGAAAGGGTGAGAGTAAGCAACCTTGCCTCACACCGGTCTTTACTTCGAACGAATCAGTGAGCCGTTCTCCATGGACGATTTGGCAGTTTAATACATCATAGGAGTTCCGTTTGATATTGACTATCTCCTCAGGCACGCCGTAATGTCGAAGAAGCCTCCATAGTGTCGTCCTGTCCACACTATCAAATGCCTTCTCGTAGTCGATGAAGTTGATGTAGAGTGATGAATTCCATTCGATTGATTGTTCCACAATGATACGTAGAGTTGCGATTTGATCTGTGCACGATCTATCTTTACGAAATCCAGCCTGTTGATCTTGAAGTTGGGCGTCTATGGGGTCCTTCATTCTGTCTAAAAACACCCTGTTGAAGACTTTTCCTGGTAATGAGAGAAGGGTGATGCTCCTGTAATTATCGCACTTGCTAAGATCGCCCTTCTTTGGTATCTTGATCAGAAGTCCTTCTTTCCAATCTGTTGGTACTTGTTCTTCATCCCAAATCTTACTGAAGAGGATGTGGAGTATCTTTGCATTTATTGCTGCATATACTTTCAGTGCCTCTGCCGGGATGTTGTCTGATCCCGCTGCTTTGCCGCTCTTGATTTGTCTGATGGCCCTGCTGATCTCTTCAATTGTTGGTGAGCCAACATCGATTGGGAGGTCTGTGGGTGCTGCTTCGATGTTGGGTGGGTTCAGTGGAGCTGGTCGATTCAAGAGTTCTTTGAAGTGTTCTACCCGCCCGTTTCGTTGTTCTTCAATGTCGGTGATTACCTTGTCTTCCTTGCTTTTCACTGGTCGTTCTGGTTTACGGTAATTTCCAGCGAGCCTTTTTGTTGTATTATACAATTGTCTCATGTTTCCTTCTCTTGCAGCCTCTTCCGTTGTCTTCCACATATTTACGTCTGTCGGTTCTGATGCTCCTCTTCACTTGCTTGTTTGCCTCTGTGTATTCGGCTTGTGCCTTGGCTTTTTCCGCTCTTGTTCGGCTGATATTGATTACTGCCTTCTTGTTCTTCCTTTCTTCAATTTTATCCAGTGTACCAACAGTGATCCATTCCTTGTGATGGTGCTTCTTGTGGCCTAGAAATTTATGACATGTTGAAGCGATTGCTTCTTTTATCTTTTTCCAGTCGTTCTCCATGGTAGTAATTTCCCTATTGAGTAGATCGTGAAAGGCCTGGAACTTGTTGTTGAGGGCTATCTCGAATTCGTTGGATCTGTCAGATACCTGAAGGAAGGCTGTGGTAAACTTTTGTGTTATCCGTCCCGGTATCCAGTGATCCTCAAGTTTTAACTTTATCTTGGCTACCAACAAGTGATGATCTGATGCTATATCAGCTTCTCTTTTGATTCTCACGTCGATTTCGAATTTCTCGCGACCTACTATAGCAATGAAACACAGGCTTACGCTGGTGATGAGGTATCGGCAACTTAGATTACCTCTATGAGTCATACTAAATACTATTTCGTTCTGCGTTCTGCATCGCTCAATTTGTGGTTTTATTACAGATCTCAGTGTTTAAGTGTGCAACATATTACAGTATGAGTGAAAAATCTTCATTTGGACTGTTCGCTTCATGCTTTTGGTGACCTGGTCAGC